GCATGCATGTCATGACCGTTGGGTCTGTTTGATTTCTATTACACTACTACACCTGCTAGTAAATTATTTGCCATGTAGAAATATCATTTCTACCAAAAACAGTGATTGATCAGGTTAGTGATGTCTGACTGCTATTATTTTGAACACAACTGTATATATATATATATATATATATATATATATATATATATATATATTTTTTTAGTGCTGCACTTTCTTACATATACTATTTAGGGGATTGTTACCTTCATCTTGTGTGCTAGCTGCTCCCCAGGTATCACCAGCGCTCACCTATATATTCGATTCTGTTAATCACAAAAGACCCAGTCACCATAGGTGGTCTATCCTAGAATAGGCACACATTAACCACTTCCCGACCGGCCGTTGTATATAAACGGCCGGACGGTGGCACTGCAGGGTCAGGTGGCCGTTTATAAACGGCCTCCCCGCACCATGCTTGTGCGCACTCCCCGGGAGCGCACAGCACTGCGATCCGGTGCCTGCTGTGTCACAGTGAAACACCGATCGTCGGACGGGACCTCTGTACGATTTATGATGAAATATTATTTATTTGCAAAATTTTATAAGAAAAACAATTTTTTTCAAAGTTTTTGGACATTTTCATTTACATAGCAAAAAAAAAATAAAAATCCCAGTGGTGAATAAATACCACCAAAATAAAGTTTTATCTGTCTCAAAAAAATGGTGAAAAATTCATATGGGTACAGTGTTGCATGACCGCGCAATTGTCATTCAAAGTGTGATAGCGCTGAAAGCTGAAAATTTCCCTGGTCAGGAAGGGGGGGTAAACGTGTCCGGACTGGAAGTGGTTAAGAGTAACATTAACTACAAAATGATCAGATATAGTTTTGATGATCTATGTCTTATTTGATTGGCATGAACATATAATTGGCTTGTGATATTTCCAGTGTCCATAAGAGACATACAGTGGATATAAAAAGCCTACTCACCCCTTTTGAAATGTCAGGTTTCTGTGATGTAAAAAAATGAAACAAAGATAAATCATTTCAGAACTTTTTCAACCTTTAATGTGACCTATAAATTGTACAACTCATATGAAAAACAAACTGAAATCTTTTAGGGGTGGGAAGTAAACAAAAAAAAAAAAACACTAAAATAATGTGGTTGCATAAGTGTGCAACTGGGCATGTAGCTGTGTTCAGAATTAAGCAATCACATTCAAAATCATATTAAATAGGAGTCACGACACACCTGCCATCATTTAAAGTGCCTCTGATTAACCCCAAATAAAGTTCAGCTGTTCTAGTAGGTCTTTCCTGACATTTTCTTAGTCGCATCCTACAGCAAAAGCCATGGTCCGCAGAGAGCTTCCAAAGCATCAGAGGGATCTCACTGATAAAAGGTATCATTCAGGAGAAGGATACAAAAGAATTTCCAAGGCATTAGATATAAGATGGAACACAGTGAAGACAGTTATCATCAAGTGGAGAAAATATAGCACAACAGTGACATTACCAAGAACTGGACATCCCTCCAAAATTGATGAAAAGACAAGAAAAAAACTGGTTTGGGAGGCTGCCAGAGGCCTACAGCAACATTAAAGGAGCTGCAGGAATATCTGGCAAGTACTGGCCAGTGTTTACCTTATCTAGTTTTTGAAGCGTTGAAAGTGTTCTGTTGTTGTTTGACAATTCACACCCTGTTTAACTGCCTTGATATACAGTAATACATTTAATTAATCTACCATCCGTTTGTTGGTGGCTTACTTTGTGTGTGCTGATATACAGTGCAGGTATACCAACAGATAAGTCTCACACAAATGTAAGCGAGTCTTAGACCACAACCTTGAATGTCAGTGGGGATCAAGCAGAACAGAGAACCGACCATCACCAGCAGCTCCTACAAGAGCAAGTGCTACACATGGGGGCTCGTCCGGGATATCTCTTTTTTACAAATGTTATCAAGACAAACACAGCCAACATACACTCTGAGTTCCAACCTGTTTCCAGGGGGTTAGTCTGCAGCGAACTAACAATGCCAAAACTCACCTGGTTCAGCTGAACATCAACCTACAAAGTCAGGCAACTCCAACAATATAAATATATGTCCCCGCTCAGTATCACAAGATTGATAAATCACATTATTTAAGTAGCTGCTATACACCAAAAACACAAATATAATACATAAATACATTTTGCAGCTTAAAAAAAACAAACATCACAAAAATCCACATAAACAAATAAACACCCGTGTAAATAATATACTTAAAAGTTATATAAAGTAAAAAAGTCTTAAGCTCTGGACGGATTGTTCAAGCATGCACATTCATGTTGGGAAAATGAATTCCAGAGTTTATCAAGGACATTATTGCAGGAAAACGTACGATTATAATCTCTTCTTTGGTGAAGTATCTCAAACGTTCCACATATAGTGGCTTGAACTGTGCTGAACCTCCACCTTAGGTAAGAATGCACACTCACCAAACTCTGTTGCTGCCTATGCAAATAAAACACGCTTAATCACAAGCTGAGGTTTCACCACAGGAACCTGATGTTCAATTTTAATCTCTCCTTTATTTTCATAGCCCATTCAATCTGCAAAAAGACCACCAGCAATAAAAAAAATCTTACAGTGCAGTAATTTATTTTAAAAAATAGGATATCCAAACAATAGCAATAAAAACATCCACACGCTGGTATCACTTACATATTTAGCCACCAATCTTGCTTTAGAATGGCGGTGGGACCTCTGGCATGTTAAATCACTCTACAGTTGTTTCGCACAGTCATGCATCATCAGGAGCAAACATCTCAATGATCTATGCGGCCATACTTAAATAGTCCATCCTACTGCTGAACACAACCTCATACGATTGTTGTTCCAGTGCATAGAGTGTGCGCAGTCACTTCTGGGATCCGTGCCATCTTAGTTGCATCGCTTCCGGTGTCTTGGAATGCACCGTGATAACTTCCGGTCTCGGTGTCATCTTAGTGGCATCATTTTCGGTACGGCGCCATTAAGGAGCAGAACAAATTCATTGACTATTTATACACTGACACTAATTGAAATTTAAAAAAGCCACAGATGTGGGACATTAACCTCTAATTGGCATTTTAACCCGTGTGTGTCATCTTGTGTGTGTCTGTACCAAGGCCAAACATTCCAGGGTATGTAAACTTCTGATCCTGGCCATTTGGGTGATTTATGTTATTATTATGATTTAAAAAGGACCCAAACAACTATTTGATAATAAATGGCTTCATATAATCATCATCCTTCAATAAAAGAGCATTTTTGACAGGATCAGTCATATTTTCAATATCAATTCCAAAATTTCACAATTTCTGCCAGGGTATGCAAACTTTTGAGCACAACTGTATATATATATATTTAATATATATATATATATATATATATATAGTACTCAGCATAAATAAGTACACCCTATCAGACTTGTCAGAAAACCTTTACTTTCCTTTCAGAATCAACATTTTCTATGGGACACTATACTACAAAATACTACAAAAAAAATGTGGGCCATTGATTGCGAACAAGATTTGCATGCACAAAAAAGTATTTTTCCTTACAAATTCATTCAAAACCATGTTGCAAAAATGAATACACCCCAATGACAGTCTTAGGTGCAAAGCTAAATTTTAGACAACAAAATCCTAATTAACAAGAATTCAACTACAGGTTTAAGGCTAGGTTCACATATGTGCGGGTGGTGTGGTTGCGGATCCGCACGAAAATCCGTGCAGCTGCAACTACCCGCACAGAGGAATAGCAATTAACATGCTATTCAACATTCAATCCCATAGGATAGAAGGACTTCAGTTCATATACCCACTTCATTTCTAACTTAGAGACCTCCCTCACACGACGACAACCTCTCCCAATGAGGGTGAAGTTTGTATAGCTGTAAATTTCAAACCCTTAGGATCCCTATTATGACATGTTTGGGAGTGGGCTGAAAGGATATGATTTTTAAAACCTTTTTTAATATTGTAAACATGTTCTCTTAATTTGTCTCTTAATCTTCTAGTAGTTCTCCCCACATATTCTTTCTTACAGGTACATTCTAGTAAATAAACTACACACCTAGGTTCACAAGAAACAAATTTATCAATCAGATATTTCTCTTCTCCTGATAGCTGAAGAAAAAAATGTACTTTTGGTTTTTCTATTACCATCTACTCTGCATATAACACATTTGTTACAAGGATAGAAACCTTTTAGTTCTCTAAAAAAGGGAACATTGTTTGGAGGATTTATAACATTAGGAGCTAATCGATCTCTTAAATTTTGAGCCCTTCTAAAGACAATTTCTGGTTTACCTGGCAATACTAATCGAAAAATTGGTTATCAGAGGATACAATTATTTGCTTTCTTATTAACATTCGGGGCTAGTAGTAAATCTCTATCTATGGCAACAACTTCTTGTGTAGTTTGAGTTAAAGTATTTTCACTGTAATCCTCTAAAATCTCTGCAATTTTGCTTCATTCTTAAAAATTGTCCTTTAGGGACATATGTTAGCCAAGATAGATGGTGGCAGCTGCTCAGGGGAATATCGCTGTTCCTATCTGAACTTTTAATTTTTTTGATTTTCTATATATTTCACCATTAACTATCCTTAGATTGAGATCTAAAAAATGAACTTCTGTTTTACTATATGTATATGAAAGGTCAATATTATGATTGTTATTATTTTAAAAAGCCATGAAGTTCTTTAAAGACATTTCATCACTCCTCCACAAAAGTAGAATATCATCTATATACCTTTTATAAAAAAGCAAATTTTCATATCTTTTGTCATAAATAGCATCCAAATCCCACCTAGACATAAAAAGATTAGCTGAGCTCGGAATGAACTTAGCTCCCGTACCCACTCCCGTACATTGTAAATAAAAGGATCTGTTAACCAATTCTGCACTGCCCTATAGCAGGAATACTGCTACAGGGTGGGACGAGTGTGCAAAATCACATATATATACATCATTTTGCAGTTCCAGGTAGGGGGCGCTGCCATTCGTGGCCTCGGCTGTCAAACACGGGTTCCCTGCCAGCACCCGGCGATCTTTGAATATTACCAACGGGGGGAGACCTGTATGTAAGCAACATAGATCTCTCCCGTCAGCTCCCGCACACTGCTTTGTACGGCTGTGCATAGCAGCACCATACAAACAAGTGTGCTTACAGTGAAAGACACACACAGCCCACATAGTAAAACAGCACACAGTTAACCCCTTGATCGCCCCACATGTTAACCCCTTCCTGCCCAGTGCCATTAGTACAGTGCCAGTGCTTTTTATTAGCACTGATCACTGTATTGGTGTCACTGGGGATGTCAGTGACACCAAGTCAGTTCCCCCCAGTGTCAGAATGTCCGCCGCAGTCCTGCTGCTATAAGTCCGTGATCGCCGCCATTACTAGTAAAACAAAAATAAATAATTCCAGTATATATACCGTCATTTGTAAACGCTATAACTTTCATGTAAACTGATTAATTTACACGTATTGGGATTTTTTTAGCAAAGACATGTAGCAGAATACATTTTGGCCTAAATTTATGATATAATTTGATTTTTTAAATATTTTTACTGGACATGTTTAATAGCAAAAAGTCAAAAATATTTAATTTTTTTTCAAAATTGTCGGTCTTTTTTTGTTTATAGCACAAAAAAATTAAAACCGCACAGGCAATCAAATACCATCGAAAGAAAGCTCTATTTGTGGGAAAAAAAGGACATTAACCACTTGCCTACCAGGCACTTATACCCCCTTATTTACCAGGCCAATTTTCAGCTTTCAGCGCTGCCGCACTTTGATTGACAATTGCGCGGTCATGCAACATTGTACCCATATGAAATTTTGATCATTTTTTTTTCACAAATAGAGCTTTCTTTTGGTGGTATTTAATCGCCACTGGGCACTTTACTTTTTGCGCTATAAACAAAAAAAGTGCAAAAAATTTGAAAAAAAAAAAAAAGTTTCTTTGTTTCTATTATAAAATTTTTCAAACAGGTAATTTTTCTCCTTCACTGATGTGCGTTGATGAGGCAGCACTGATGGGCACTGATAGGCGGCACTGATGGGCACTGATAGGCAGCACTAAAGGGCACTGATAGGCAGTACTAATGAGGTGGCACGGATAGGTGGCACTGATAGGCAGCACTAATGAGTGTCACGGATAGGCGGCACTAATATGCAGCACTGATAGGCGGCACTGATAGGTGGCACTGATAGGTGACACTGATGATGGGTACTGATAGACGGCACTGACTGGCATCACTGCTGGGCACTGACTGGCAGCACTGACTGGCACAACCGCTGGGCACTGACTGGTGGCACTGACTGGCAGCACTGCTGGGCTGCACTGGTGGGTGGCACTGGTGGGCAGCACTGGTGGGTGGGCACAGGTGGGTGGCACTGGTGTGCACAGGTGGGTGGGCACAGGTGGGTGGCACAGCTGGGTACAGGTAGGTGGCACTTCTGGGCACAGGTGTGTAACACTGCAGAGTGGCACAGGTGGGTGCATTGCTGGGCACAGGTGGGTGCACTGCTGGGCACAGGTGGGTGATCTGCTGGGCACAGGTGGGCGGAGCTAGTGGGCGCACTGCTGGGCACAGGTGGGCGGAACTTGTGGGTGGCACTGCTGGGCACCGATCATCAGGGCACTGATCATCAGTGCCCTGATCATCGGTGCCGATCCCCGCTCTGACAACTGCCGGTTCTCGGCAGTACTTTCCTCACGATCTGACAGCGCGAGGAAAGTGCAGCCGAGAACTGGCAATTGCATTTCCCTGTGATCAGCGTGTCATTGGACACCGCTGATCACGTGGTAAAAGGCCGCTGTGATTGGCCTTTTACCACATCACGTGAACAGCTGTGTCCGTAGGACACAGCGATCACGGAGAGCGCCGGGTGCGCGCCCCCTGGGGCGCGCAGGAGAGCGCGTTCTGGGAGGACGTCATATGACGTCCACCCAGAACTGGCCGGCCGCAGTGCAGCCGTCATTCGGCTATCTGCGGTCGGCAACTAGTTAATTTTTATTTGGGTGCAGCGTTGCATGACTGCGCAAATGTCAGTTAAAGTAACGCAACGCCGTATTGTGGCCTGGTCAGGAGGGGGGTAAATCCTCTGGAGAGCAAGTGGTTAAACCAACAAAAATGATGTGACATCGCAAAATCCAGTAAACACAGAATAAAGTCTCTCTGTGCAGGATAAAATAGTACTGCTCTCCTGCCATCAATATGTTTAATGTTGGTATAGAGAGAGTCACATCAGCTGTTACAGGAGAAAGTTTATCTATTACAAAATTCTTTAGTTCATTAAGTACTTGTTTAGTATCCTTTAAGTAAGTGGGAGTCTCTACTAATAGTGTTTGCAAAAATACATCAATGTATTCCCCTATTCTCGATGTTAATGATCCTATTCCGCTGATATTAGGTCTCCTGGCGCGGATGTAGAGGGTCTTTATGGACCTTAGGGAATGATTGCAATTCTTGATTCTTTAGGAATTAGATATTAACGTTCCTTTTTATTCAAAATCTCTTGATTAAATCCACTTTTTACTACCTCTTTAAGAACTTTTTGTAGATTCTTTAGTAGGATCTCTATTTAACAAAGAATATGTGGTACTATTATTAAGGATATCTTACATTTTATCAATATATTTAAATTTATCCATCACAGCTATTACCCCCTCTCTTTATCTGCCGGTCTTATTATTAAGTTTCGTCTAACAATTTTTTCATACCCTCGTAACTCTCTTTATCTTCTCTAGCTTTCTTAACATTAACTTTATCTAAATCTTGAATGACTAAATCTTTAAATACACCTATGTGATGATTACTAGAGATGAGCGAATCGAACTTGGCGAAGTGGAATTCGTTTCGAATATTAGGAAAATTTCGATTCGCGAGGAATCGAAAATTAGCAGAATCGAAATTTTTCCAAAAATGGCGGCGACATGTGCGGCGACGGAGCGGGGATCTCTGGGAAGGCGCGCAGACAAGGCGCGCTGACCCATAATGCATTCATTCATGACATGTGATCGCATTAGCCAATCAGCAGCCAGCCAGCCAGCACTGTGTAATGGTCGAGCTATAAATTGCGGCCATTTTAGAATTCTCCATTTGCCTCCAGTCATTCAAGAGAGGCAGACCTGGCTGTATTGAGGGAGAGAGTTAGGGACACAGAAACGTTACTTAGGGCCACAGAAACGTTACTTAGGGACACAGAAACGTTACTTAGGGCCACAGAACCGTTACTTAGGGCCACAGAAACGTTACTTAGGGCCACAGAACCGTTACTTAGGGCCACAGAAACGTTACTTAGGGCCACAGAATCGTTACTTAGGGCCACAGAAACGTTACTTAGGGCCACAGAAACGTTACTTAGGGCCACAGAATCGTTACTTAGGGCCACAGAAACGTTACTTAGGGCCACAGAAACGTTACTTAGGGCCACAGAATCGTTACTTAGGGCCACAGAAACGTTACTTAGGGCCACAGAAACGTTACTTAGGGCCACAGAATCGTTACTTAGGGACACAGAACCGTTACTTAGGGCCACAGAAACGTTACTTAGGGACACAGAATTGTTACTCAGGGACAGACACAGAATTGTTACTGAGGGACACAGAATTGTTACTGAGGGACACAGAATTGTTACTGAGGGACACAGAATTGTTACTCAGGGACAGACACAGAATTGTTACTCAGAGACAGACACAGAATTGTTACTCAGGGACAGACACAGAAATTGTTACTCAGGGACAGACACAGAATTGTTACTGAGGGACACAGAATTGTTACTGAGGGACACAGAATTGTTACTGAGGGACACAGAATTTGTTACTCAGGGACAGACACAGAATTGTTACTGAGGGACACAGAATTGTTACTGAGGGACACAGAATTGTTACTGAGGGACACAGAATTGTTACTCAGGGACAGACACAGAATTTTTACTCAGGGACAGACACAGAATTGTTACTCAGGGACAGACACAGAATTGTTACTGAGGGACACAGAAGGGTTACTGAGGGACACAGAATTGTTACTCAGGGACAGACACAGAATTGTTACTCAGGGACAGACACAGAATTGTTACTCAGGGACAGACACAGAATTGTTACTCAGGGACAGACACAGAATTGTTACTCAGGGACACAGAATTGTTACTGAGGGACACAGAATTGTTACTGAGGGACACAGAATTGTTACTCAGGGACAGACACAGAATTGTTACTCAGGGACAGACACAGAATTGTTACTGAGGGACACAGAATTGTTACTGAGGGACACAGAATTGTTACTCAGGGACAGACACAGAATTGTTACTGAGGGACACAGAATTGTTACTGAGGGACACAGAATTGTTACTCAGGGACAGACACAGAATTGTTACTCAGGGACAGACACAGAAATTGTTACTCAGGGACAGACACAGAATTGTTACTGAGGGACACAGAATTGTTACTGAGGGACACAGAATTGTTACTCAGGGACAGACACAGAATTGTTACTCAGGGACAGACACAGAATTGTTACTCAGGACAGACACAGAATTGTTACTCAGGGACAGACACAGAATTGTTACTCAGGGGACACAGAATTGTTACTCAGGGACACAGAATTGTTACAGGGACACAGAATTGTTACTGAGGGACACAATTGTTACTGAGGGACACAGAATTGTTACTGAGGGACAGAATTGTTACTGAGGGACAGACACAGAATTGTTACTGAGGGACACAGGGACAGACACAGAATTGTTACTGAGGGACACAGAATTGTTACTCAGGGACAGACACAGAATTGTTTACTCAGGGAGTTACAGGGACACAGAATTGTTACTGAGGGACACAGAGAATTGTTACTGAGGGACACAGAATTGTTACTGAGGGACACAGAATTGTTACTCAGGACAGACACAGAATTGTTACTGAGGGACAGACAGAATTGTTACTCTGATGGACACAGAATTGTTACTGAGGGACACAGAATTGTTACTCAGGGACACAGAATTGTTACTGAGGGACACAGAATTGTTACTCAGGGACAGACACAGAATTGTTACTGAGGGACACAGAATTGTTACTGAGGGACACAGAATTGTTACTGAGGGGACACAGAATTGTTACTCAGGGACACAGAATTGTTACTCAGGGACACAGAATTGTTACTCAGGGGGACACAGAATTGTTACTGAGGGACACAGAATTGTTACTGAGGGACACAGAATTGTTACTCAGGGACAGACACAGAATTGTTACTGAGGGACACAGAATTGTTACTGAGGGACACAGAATTGTTACTCAGGGACACAGAATTGTTACTCAGGGACAAGACACAGATTTGTTACTCAGGGACACAGAATTGTTACTGAGGGACACAGAATCGTTGAATTAAAGAGTATGTCAGACAACATGCAGAGGAGTGGCAGAGGAGGCAATGTTTTAGGAGCGAGCGAGCAGCAGACGTGGCAGCAGAGGAAGGGGTCGAGGCAGCACTAGTCGCAGCCAGAGGCCAGTGCTCCCCGGTGTCATCCAGCGGTCGTGTCTCCACCGACAACCCTGCCGTCATCGATTGGTTGGCTCGGTCGTCTTCCTCTTCCCAGGTCACCTCTGACACCTACAGCCAACGGTCGGTGGGTACGTCAGACACAACCGTTAGTTGGCATGGCCCGGGAGCAAGCCCACTGAAATCACGTGTCCTCTACCTGCCCCTGTCCTTTGGTGTTCCCTCACCAAGCGAAGTATCGCATGCTGTGGGCTCAGCCCCACTGTACAGTGAGGAAGAGCTAACAGAGGGCGGTCAGGAACGGGGGGAGACATCCGCCTCTTCAGCAGCCAGGCGAAGAAGTACTGGCGAGGAGAGTGGCTCGGTAGCCGGTCTAGAGACAGGTCTGTCTCCTGACCCACACGCAGCCGAGGGGGCTAGTAGTGAGGTGGGAGACCCTAATTGATGATGATGAGGCTGATCGCACTTGGCAGCCTCGTCGTCATCAGGCTATTGCTTCCGCATCATCAGGAGAAGAGGGTGCCAGCTTGGCAGCGAGCAAAACAGTCGGTGGGTTGCCCAGGAGGCAGCAGGGTCGCAGCAGTGTCAGTGGAGGCAAACGGCCACGGAGTACAGCACCAGCTCCACTGCAGCCTACCACCACGGCCAGTAGTGGTGCCGGTGTGCACGGAGGAAGTAGCAGTCAGCCAGTGAGGAGTAGCGGGGGCAAAGTTTCCTACTCGGCGCTGTGGCAATTTTTTGTCAAGCCGCCCGAGGAAGTAAACGTAGCCGTATGTCGACTATGTGGCCAGAAAGTCAAGCGTGGCCAGGGGGCCCATGTTGGGACTACAGCGTTTGCGTCAGCATATGCAGCGTCGCCATTTTGTCATAGGGTGGCCTGGGAAAAACCGTGATAAAGATACGGCGGTTCTGCCTGCCTCCTCCCCCAGCTCCTCCTCATGCTGCTGCCAGGTCCAGAGTGTGGCATGGGTCCCTGTACGGCCTCCCATTGCTGCTGTCTCCATCGCCACACTCTGCCATGTGCCACTTTCAGGTCTCCTCACACTGCTGGTGTGTTCCATTTTGTCATAGGGTGCTGGCAGATTACGGGCCTCCCATTGCTGCTGCCAGGCCCGTAATCTGCCATGGGCCCCCGTACCGCCTCCTCCTCATGCTGCTGCCAGGTCCAGAGTGTCTCATGGGTCCCTGTACGGCCTCCCATTGCTGCTGTCTCCATCGCCACACACTCTGCCATGTGCCACTTTCAGGTCTCCTCACACTGCTGGTGTGTTCCATTTTGTCATAGGGTGCTGGCAGATTACGGGCCTCCCATTGCTGCTGCCAGCCCGTAATCTGCCATGGGCCCCAGTACCGCCTCCTCATGCTGCTGCCAGGTCCAGAGTCTCTCATGGGTCCCTGTACGGCCTCCCATTGCTGCTGTCTCCATCGCCACACTCTGCCATGTGCCACTTTCAGGTCTCCTCACACTGCTGGTGTGTTCCATTTTTTGTCATAGGGTGCTGGCAGATTACGGGCCTCCCATTGCTGCTGCCAGGCCCGTAATCTGCCATGGGCCCCCGTACCGCCTCCTCATGCTGCTGCCAGGTCCAGAGTCTCTCATGGGTCCCTGTACGGCCTCCCATTGCTGCTGTCTGTCTCCATCGCCACACTCTGCCATGTGCCACTTTTTCAGGTCTCCTCACACTGCTGGTGTGTTCCATTTTTGTCATAGGGTGCTGGCAGATTACGGGCCTCCCATTGCTGCTGCCAGGCCCGTAATCTGCCATGGGCCCCAGTAACCCGCCTCCTCATGCTGCTGCCAGGTCCAGAGTCTCTCATGGGTCCCTGTACGGCCTCCCATTGCTGCTGTCTCCATCGCCACACTCTGCCATGTGCCACTTTCAGGTCTCCTCACACTGCTGGTGTGTTCCATTTTTGTGCTGGTCATAGGGTGCTGGCAGATTACGGGCCTCCCATTGCTGCTGCCAGGCCCGTAATCTGCCATGGGCCCCTGTACCACCTCCTCATGCTGCTGCCAGGTCCAGAGTCTCTCATGGGTCCCTGTACGGCCTCCCATTGCTGCTGTCTCCATCGCCACACTCTGCCATGTGCCACTTTCAGGTCTCCTCACACACTGCTGGTGTGTTCCATTTTTTGTCATAGGGTGCTGGCAGATTACGGGCCTCCCATTGCTGCTGCCAGGCCCGTAATCTGCCATGGGCCCCAGTACCGCCTCCTCATGCTGCTGCCAGGTCCAGAGTCTCTCATGGGTCCCTGTACGGCCTCCCATTGCTGCTGTCTCCATCGCCACACTCTGCCATGTGCCACTTTCAGGTCTCCTCACACTGCTGGTGTGTTCCATTTTGTCATAGGGTGCTGGCAGATTACGGGCCTCCCATTGCTGCTGCCAGGCCCGTAATCTGCCATGGCCCCCCCCGTACCGCCTCCTCCGCTGCATGCTGCCCAGGTCCAGAGTCTCTCATGGGTCCCTGTACGGCCTCCCATTGCTGCTGTCTCCATCGCCACACTCTGCCATGTGCCACTTTCAGGTCTCCTCACACTGCTGGTGTGTTCCTTTTTTTGTCATAGGGTGCTGGCAGATTACGGGCCTCCCATTGCTGCTGCCAGGCCTGTAATCTGCCATGGGCCCCAGTACCGCCTCCTCATCATGCTGCTGCCAGGTCCAGAGTCTCTCATGGGTCCCTGTACGGCCTCCCATTGCTGCTGTCTCCATCGCCACACTCTGCCATGTGCCACTTTCAGGTCTCCTCACACTGCTGGTGTGTTCCATTTTTTGTCATAGGGTGCTGGCAGATTACGGGCCTCCCATTGCTGCTGCCAGGCCCGTAATCTGCCATGGGCCCCAGTACCGCCTCCTCATGCTGCTGCCAGGTCCAGAGTCTCTCATGGGTCCCTGTACGGCCTCCCATTGCTGCTGTCTCCATCGCCACACTCTGCCATGTGCCACTTTCAGGTCTCCTCACACTGCTGGTGTGTTCCATTTTTTGTCATAGGGTGCTGGCAGATTACGGGCCTCCCATTGCTGCTGCCAGGCCCGTAATCTGCCATGGGCCCCCGTACCGCCTCCTCATGCTGCTGCCAGGTCCAGAGAGTCTCTCATGGGTCCCTGTACGGCCTCCCATTGCTGCTGTCTCCATCGCCACACTCTGCCATGTGCCACTTTCAGGTCTCCTCACACACTGCTGGTGTGTTCCATTTTGTCATAGGGTGCTGGCAGATTACGGGCCTCCCATTGCTGCTGCCAGGCCCGTAATCTGCCATGGGCCCCTGTACCGCCTCCTCATGCTGCTGCCAGGTCCACAGTGTCTCATGGGTCCCTGTACGGCCTCCCATTGCTGCTGTCTCCATCGCCACACTCTGCCATGTGCCACTTTCAGGTCTCACCTCACACTGCTGGTGTGTTCCATTTTTTCATAGGGTGCTGGCAGATTACGGGCCTCCCATTGCTGCTGCCAGGCCCGTAATCTGCCATGGGCCCCCGTACCGACTCCTCATGCTGTGACGTTGCAACAAGGTGGAATTCAACCCTACATATGTTAGACCGCCTTTACGAACAGCGAAAGGCCATCACAGATTCCTGATGTTACAAGCGGATAAAGGTACTCCCCTGTGTAACTTAGATGTCAGCCATTGGCAGCTCATGCGTGACACCTGCCGCTTGCTCAGGCCCTTTGAGGAGGCCACGCTATTCGTGAGTCGGCAGGACTATGGAGATGAACGACGTCATTCCTCTGTTGCACGTCCTGGAACAAATGCTGTTAACAATGGCTGGTCAGGGTGCGGTAGACGTGGCGCACAGATCTCAACGCCACATGACCCCTGTGGGGGCAGGACAGGAAGAAGAGGAGGAGGTAGAGGAGGACATTGGTGCTCAGGAATTATTGAGTGAAATGGGGGTGGTTTTTCCACTCAGCGGACAGGAGTGGAGGAGCAGGAGCATCTGGTAGAGGAGGAGGAGACAGAGGACCCAGACGCACCGTGGCAGTATGCTGTGGAGATGGAGGCAGGGAGTCCCTCGCATTCCTTGGCACAAATGGCCCATAGCATGCTCGGTTGCTTGCTTGCGTAGCGACAGCCGAATAATAACCATCAGACAGAGGGATGACTTTTGGCTGTCCACCTTGTTGGACCCTCGCTACCGTTAAAAAATGGTGGCCTTTTTCACACCTGCTGAGAGGGAGGCCAAAATAACGTACTATAAAAACCACCTATGTAGTCAGTTGGTCTCTGCCTTTCTGCGCCAACGTCCATCCTCAGACACTGTGGGCCCTGTGCGCTCGCGTTCCGCTGCCATGGCAGCAGGGGAGGGGTGGGGTGGTAGGAGCAGTGGCAGCTCCACCAGCAGCGGCTGCCTCAGTCTGCAGTCGATGATGAGTAGCTTTCTTCACCAGCGCAGTGAGGAAACTACTAACCAGCCGCAGCAGCAGCAGCATCAGGTGGACCTGGAGCAGGACCTCAAACAACAGGCTTGGGCCTACTTGGACAGCACCCTGCCAACCGAGGTAGACAATCCCCCTTGACTACTGGGCAACGAAACTTGACCTTTGGCCCCAACTAGCTGAATTTGCCCTTGAAAGGCTGTCATGCCCGGCCAGTAGCGTGGCATCGGAGCACGTGTTTAGTGCGGCAGGAGGTATTGTAACTCCGCGGAGGACACGACTGTCCACCCAAAGTGTGGAGAGACTCACGTTTGTGAAAATGAAGCAGGCGTGGATTAGTCTGGATTTCAAACCACCAGTTCCTGACACAACTGACTAAATCCGCCATGAATCATGCACCAAACATGTGCCACTTTCAGGTCTCCTCACACTGCTGGTGTGTTCCATTTTTTGTCATAGGGTGCTGGCAGATTACGGGCCTCCCATTGCTGCTGCCAGGCCCGTAATCTGCCATGGGCCCCCGTACCGCCTCCTCATGCTGCTGCTGCCAGGTCCAGAGTGTCATGGGTCCCTGTACGGCCTCCCATTGCTGCTGTCTCCATCGCCACACTCTGCCATGTGCCACTTTCAGGTCTCCTCACACTGCTGGTGTGTTCCATTTTGTCATAGGGTGCTGGCAGATTACGGGCCTCCCATTGCTGCTGCCAGGCCCGTAATCTGCCATGGGCCCCTGTACCGCCTACTAATGCTGCTGCCAGGTCCAGAGTGTGTCATGGGTCCCTGTACGGCCTCCCATTGCTGCTGTCTCCATCGCCACACTCTGCCATGTGCCACTTTCAGGTCTCCTCACACTGCTGGTGGGTTCCATTTTTGTCATAGGGTGCTGTATGGCCTCCCATTGCTGCTGCCTCCACCGCCACACTGTGGCTCCACACTCTGGTTTTGGCCCCGTGACTGCCCAAATGAGTGAAGTGTGCGGTGATTCTAAGATTGACGGCACTCATCTGCATGTCATACTGACTGACAGTATTATTTCTCTTCCCCAGCAGACTCCAAGGGCATTTAAATTAAAGGTACAGTGTTCTGCACTAATATGAAGGCTCTCTGAAGCCTAGAAACACCCTTTTATAAGTTAAATTCGCAGCGAATATATTTGCATCGAATCAAATTTATTCCTCGAATTCGCCGAATCAGCCGAATCAAATTTTTGAATACTTCGCTCATCTCTAATGATTACCACTACTCGGGGGGGTTGAACAATGAAGCATTCCTAAGGTGGTATGTTGATATAGACAGTGTTTGTTATTCAAAATATTAAAATTTTTAATGCTGATCTGATGGGTAAAACATTTGACCATGGTGAAGTGCCAGAAGAATAACCCTACATACATTGGATCTGCGTATAGAAAACTGAGGACACCATTTTTAGGGAAATAGCCAGTGCCTGATGGTGAGGAGAGTTTTGATGAATGACTGAAGCAAGCCAAGCAAGCCTTAGATGAATGGGAATTTCCCATGGACCTAGAAAAGCAGAGAATCACTGAGAGTTTAAAGTATAATTAAAGGCATAACTTCTTTTTTTAGTTTCAGATAAAGTAGAGAGGGATTAAATTGCTTGTCAGTTTTCATTGCTGTCAGTTAAGGAAATTCCTCCTCTCTATCTGTCCTGTTTACCATTATCATTGAAAGTGCAAGTAAAATAAAATACCAAATTTTGGGTTGTCCCCAGAAAAGAAATAGAAAGGAAATATTCCCATGGGGACACTAGTTTCTGGTGACCTGGGGGTCCCCAAGGAAGGTTTTCCTCTCATTTCTTGTTTGCCTATGGAACAGGAAGTGAAGGGAAATCTCTGCAATGGGACACAGATGGCAAAAAAAAAAAAAAACTCTGACAAGGTATAACCTCCCTTGCTCTATCCAAAATGAAAAAAAAGTTTTGCCTTTAGTTCGACTTTAAGGGGGCCTGCCTAAGAAGCTATATGCAACCTGAAACTTATACACAAAATGGGAGAAGATGGAAAGGAACTTTTTAGGTGCCATACATAACCTCAGGAAATGGACACACAATCTCAATTCATAAAAAATTAAAAATATTTTATTTTGCACTAAATTCTAAAATCACTCCATAGAATCAAAATAAGCAAATCAATCATCCCTTAAATCACTGTTCTCTGCTAAGAAGACCATTTCTAAGAAGACCAACTCTTTGGAAAGCACCTCAAAATTCCCCAGGGTTATGGTGACAAAGGAATGGGAAATGAATGACAGCGGAGCTCACTCTGGTGGCTGCCAGCCTAACAAATGAAACAGGGAAATATTTGAATATCCCAAGCATATCCAAGCACCTCAGTGCATCTAGTGATAGTAGAATCACATGGGCCCTTTGTGTGTATTAGTCGACCAAATATGGTTGGCAATAATTGCTGACCCGACCCTAGTAGGTTATCAAGTACTGTAAAGTATACTTACTATTCTACATGGATCCAAGAGGGCCACCAGTGACCCAACTTTCTGTTACTTCCTGTTTGTGTTCCAAAGACCAGAAGTAATGCACATAAAAAGCAAAAGTCTCTCAGAGCTCTCAGCTTAGTACATGAACAAGTCAAAAGAATATAAAAAGTTCTGGCTCAGGTTAATGGGTAAAAGTATTCTCTGCTGCCGTGGCCAGGCATAGATATGAGAATACGTGATTTATGCATTTCATGACAATACACTCTGTCATCCTCGGGGTGACCCTGAATATGACCTGCTCCACAAAATTCGGCCCCTCATAAATCAGACTATACATATAAGTTTCAGATTTACAAGGGAAAAGATAGTCACGTGGAGCTCCCCAGATGCCCAGACTACATGGGGAGCAGTGGCAAGATAGTTTGGGACTTGGGTGTCACCCTTTTTCCATATGGGGTACCACTTATACATGGACAATTTTTATACAAGCGAGCCACTATTCAGACATTTTTACAATCTTGGAATTGGCACATGTGGCACTGTACGACCTAATCACCTGAGCTTCCCCCAATGGCTTTTAAATACCCTTCTTAGAAAGGAGGAGAAAACATGCTTGAAAACTATGAATTGCTCACAGTGCAGTGGAAGGACAAATGGGATGTTTTCGTCCTGTCTTCCACTCACGCAGACACGACCATCTACATTTCGATGGCAGCTGGTGTTGAGAAACCCCTCTGTGTCTACCACTATAACCTTGATATGGGCAGTGGTGTATTTAGGTCCCGCGGAGAGAGCCTGACATTGACCAACAAACCCCATCTGGGAGAGCCTTCCACTACCCCCCCCCCAGCGATAGAGAGATACTCATCTTCACAGCTCTGGACATCCCCGGAAGCGAGAACCAGGCTCTACATTCACCATCAAACAGCCCACAGCCTCTCTTGGATCCCACCTGGTTCCCATGGTGCCCATATCCCTTCTTTCATCCCTTCTTCCAGGGGGAGGTGCTGCCCCCCTGAAAAATGCTGCCCTAGGCAAGTGCCTTGTTTGCCTTGTGGTAAATACACCCCTGGATATGGGGGTGGACTTTAATGACCAGATGATGAAGCCGCACTTAGTATCCTGTAAAGTCAAACGCTGGTACAAAAACGTGTCTGTATATTTATTTCAATTGGCTCTGTACAACGCTTTTGTGCTTTACAAAGCAACTGGAGGAAGTGGATCCTTACTAAAATTTCAGGAAGAGATCATCACAGCACTTTTGTATCCAGAAGGTGCTGTGGCCCAAACCCACAACCCAGAGACAGGTATCCCAACCCAAAGGTCACCCCAAAAAAGATGTTGTGTCTGTAGCGGACAGGGAATTAGGCGTGACACCCACTTTTTTTTGTCCCTCCTGTCTTGGCCAACCTAGTCTCTGCCTCAAGGACTGTTTCTGTCACTACCATACACTAGTGGAGTATTAGTATAGGGTAGAGCATGGCATAGTCTAGGACACATATATACACAGGGTCTCAGAAGATATTAGGTAGTCAGGAAACTGGCTATCACATTTTGAGAGACCCTAATATCTGGATGTTACAGTTTAAAAAAAATTAGTAAAAAACATACAAAATAAAAAAGGTAGAAAAAAACAAAAATAGTTGTCATTTTATTGAGTTACTGTTTTATTGTTAACCATTGCTGTTTTCTTTGCAGGAATGCCATTCAGCTGCAGCGCTGATCTGTTTATTGTGACAGCAAACAGGGTCTTGCGCTCAGAATATACGCAAGTGTGTGCAGTGCTGTTGGATGAGGTTTTTCATCCACAGTTAAAAAAAGAACATATAGTGCTCAGCATAAATGAGTAGACCCCTTTTGAAAAGTAAGATTTTAATTAATATCTCAATGAACACAAGATCAACTTCCAAAATGTTGACAAAACTGAGTTATAGAACATTTGTTTAGCTCATTAAATGAAAGTAAGGTTAATAATATACCTCAGATTACAAAATCTTCAGTTTTACTCAAATTAGTTGATGCAAAAATGAATACACCCCTCAACAAAAACTACTACATCTAGTATTTTGTATGACCTCCATGATTTGTAAGGAAAGCACAAAGTCTTCTAGGCATAGAATGAACAAGTTGGCGACATATTGCAACATCTATCATTTTCCATCATTCAAGAACGACCTCTTTTGAAGCTTGGATGGTGGATGGAGAGTGATGCTCAACTTTTCTCTTCAGAATTCCCCATAGGTGTTCGATTAGGTTCCGAACAGGAGGCATACTTGGCCACTGAATCAGTTTCTCCCTGCTCTTCTGCAGAAATGCAGCAATGGCCTTAGATGTGTGTTTTGGATCACTGTCATGTTGGAAAAGTGCATGACGACCAAGGGCACCGTTAGAAGCTTTCCTTAACCTAATAATATCTAATATCTACTTATTAACAGTACTAACATATGTATGAATGAGTTGGATCTTAATAGAATAATTGAGTTGTTATATTTCTATTTCTTCTAGATTGGGAAAAGTAAGATAAATATCCTTTATATAGTCTGTGAATATATATGGGCTTGTTCTTTACATTTAAGCAACATGTGGTAGTAATTAGTCTAACTATTCCTCCCCCATCTACTGTATGTAAGAGATTATGTTTCACTAACAAGAGAATTGTAAGAATCTATTTCATACATGTTAGGCTAGAGGGTGAGCGGGGCAGGGAGTAAGGTAACGCAAAAAGGGAATTGGGTGTTTTTTGTGAATTCTATGAGTATAAGGTTGTTCTTCTGTTTTTTTACTGAAACATTTAATAAAAGATAATTTAAAAAAAAAATTTACTTCACATTGTCATTATGGGGTTTTGTTTGTAGAATGTTGAGGAAAAAAAATTAATTTAATCCATTTTGGAATAAAGCTGTAACATAACATAACAAAATATAGCAAAAGTTCATTTCTGGATGCACTGTATATACCTTTCCGCCAGCACAGCAGGCCCCCTTTCATTTAGGTACAAACCATCACTGGATTGTACACCATTGAAAAGTCAGCCCAGTGCTCTAGAAAACCAAATCCTTCCCTCTTACACCAGGTCTTTAGCCATGCATTCAGTTCTCTAAGCTCCACCCATCTTTCCTGTGTTGCGCATTACATAGGCAATATTCCATAGAATATCACATTTTAGGTCCTTCCCTTCAAGCCAAGTTTGTTTAAATTGATTCTTAATAAGCCTTCACCTTCCATCTGTATTCTATCATTGGTTCCAACATGGACCAAGACAGATGGGTCATGACCAGTCCCTCACAGTATTTAGCCTGGTTCATCGCATGCTGAATCCAGGCACCAGGAAGACAGCAAACCATTAATTTAAGGTGAAAAATTATTCTGATTATAGAATCCCCTATTACCACCAACTGTGTAGTAGATCTTTCCTGCACTACCCTCATCACCCGTATTAGATTGGCTGCTCCCCGGGCTGTTAGGGGAAGCAGTAAAATTTAGGGCTACCACCTCTTGGTTTGCCACCCCCACATCTTCACCCAATTTGCCAAATTTGTTTCAGTTCTAAAACCCAGGACTAGCCTTCCTTTTCTGTAAGCCCCTACCACTCCCTCCCAACTACAGTAGCCCATCTTCTTACATGAGCTCCTGACTTACCAATCAACCATCCACATCAATCCCTTAAGTACCTGCTCAGAAGACACATTTTTTTTGCAGGAAACAAAAATGCATTTATTAATTTTTATTTCTGGAGCCTCTAAAGCATTGCACCAGCGATCAGCCGATCACTGGTCCCATGCAGGTCTCCTGCAGACCTGACAGTATATGGAATGTATGGGCAAGCAGATATATAGTACCTTGAAAAGGTATTCATACCCCTTGACATTTTCCACATTTTGTCATGTTACAACCAAAAATGTAAATGTATTTTATTGGGATAGACCAACACAAAGTTGCACATAATTCTAAAGTGGAAGGAAAATGAAAAATGGCTTTCCAAATTTTTTTTTACAAATAAATATCTGAAAAGTGTGGCGTGCATTTGCATTCAGCCCCCCTTTACCCTGATACCCCTAACTAAAATATAGTGTAACCAATTGCCTTCAGAAGTCACCTAATTAGTAAATACAGTCCACCTGTGTGTAATTTAATATCAGTATAAATACAGCTGTTCTTTGAAGACCTCAGAGGATTGTTAGAGAACATTAGTGAACAAACAGCATCATGAAGGCCAAGGAACACACCAGACAAGTCAGGGATAAAGTTGTGGAGACGTTGTGGAGAAGTTTTAAAGCAGGATTAGTTTATAAAAAATATCCCAAGCTTTGAACATCTCATGGCACAACTGCAAACCAACAAGACATGGCCGTCCACCTAAACTGACAGGCCAGCAAGAAGAGTATTAATCAGAGAAGCAGCCAAGAGGCCCATGGTAACTCTGGAGGAGCTGCACGCACAGAGATCCACAGCTCAGGTGGGAGAATCTGTCCACAAGACAACTATTAGTCGTGCACTCCATAAATCTGGCCTTTATGGAAGAGTGGTAAGAAGAAAGCCATTGTTGAAAGAAAGCCATAAGAGTCCAGTTTGCAGTGGGGGGACACAGCAAACATGTGGAAGGTGTTGTGGTCAGATGAGACCAAAAGTGAACTTTTTGACCTAAAAGCAAAATACTATATGTGGCAGAAAAACTAATACTGCACATCACTCTGAACACACCATCCCCACTGTGAAACATGGTGGTGGCAGCATTATTTTGGGGGATGCTTTTTTTCAGCAGGGACAGGAAAGCTGCTCAGAGTTGATGGGAAGATGGATGGAGCAAAATACAGGACAATCTTTGAAGCAAAACCTGTTAGAGTCTGCAAAAGACTTGACGATAGGGTGGAGGTTCACCTTCCAGCAGGACAACGACCCTAAGCATACAGCCAGAGCTACAAATGAAATGGCTTAGATCAAAGCATATTCATGTGTTAGAATAGCCCAGTCAAAGTCCAGACCTAAATCCAATTGATAATCTGTGGTAAGGTTTGAAAATTGCTGTTCACAGACGCTCTCCATCCAATCTGACAAAGCTTGAGCTATTTTGCAAAGAATGGGCAACAATTTCACTCTCTAGATGTGCAAAGCTGGTAGAGACATCCCCAAAAAGACTTGCAGCTGTAATTGCAGTGAAAGGTGCTTCTACAAAGTATTGACTCCGGGGGCTGAATACAAATGCACACCACACTTTTCAGACACTTATTTGTAAAAAATTTTGGAAACCATTTCTCATTTTCCTTCCACTTCACAATTATGTGCCACTTTGTGTTGGTCTATCACATAAAATCCCAATAAAATACATTTTTGCATGTGAACTGTGCTCTCAATGAGCTGTGGCCGTGACCCCCGTGTGCATGTGGGGGAGTAACGTCACCAGAGCTCTGCCAGTCAAGCCCACGAACCTGGAATGAAGACCGGGTGAAGATGGAAGCCCTTTCAGTGGCAGTCTGGAGGGCTTCATTCAAAGGTAAGTCTTTTATAATGTGCTATTATCCTACAGGGGACCATTTCTGTGGAATCTGTATTTGCGGTTTACTACCACTTTAAAGCCTACATTTGTGTTGTGTGGGCAGCAACAGGTTAATGCTTTTCTACAGACTAGCACTCTAGCTCAGACATCACAGGGACAGAATGTAAGGGAACATTCCCCAATAGGAAATACATAAAGTTCTCCTTTGTGCCCCCCACCATTCTTGGCACATTTTATTTTTGGGGGGGGGAGTGGGCACCTAGTTTTTGCAGGCACCTGATCTCACTTGCGCTGGAATTGCCTGGGCGGCGCACACATGTGCGGTGGGGATCAGGCTGTGAAGCCACAGGGAGCCACAACTTCCTACAGTAAACACGCCGGCCTTGACAACTCTTCTAGCCAAAAAAAAAATGGTTGAAGTGTTTCCTTTTTTCGGACAGCGGGGGTGAGGATAGGTTTTTCTTTCATAGCTGCCAGTGACCTCACTTTGAATACAGGAAGTGAAGGGAATACTCCCAATGGAGACACAGCAATAATATTCGATGGAGGAGCTAAAGCTTCCCCATTCTGTGTGGTGCTGAATGGCAGACACTTAACTATGGCTTGGCATATACATATACATTTTGAGGGCAAGCTGTACTAATCTCTTGGAAGCAACAACAAGCTTCCTTCACCCACCTCAGCAGTGAGGCGTGCTTCACAACCAAGCTTGTGCATGCTGCTGCGTAACTCCGCCCACTGGCCATACTGTGCGCCAGGAGCCGCCCCCTGTGGTATGTGTACACAAGGCAGTGTAATCTGCGGCGGGCGGAGTGGGAGGAGCTCTCTGACTGCAGTGACAGGCGCTTTCATGGTCCCTCCACAGCTTCATGCTGTGCGCCCCCCTCCGGCGGTGTTGATCCCCCTATACGAGGTGCTGCAAGTCCCAGGACACTTGGTTTGCTCCCGTAGCTGCGGGCTGTATGCCCCCTCCTTCCGTCCTAGTAGTGCCTGCTGTCCGCACACCTGGATTCCCCGGGACATACGCTCAATGAGACCCCCTATATGTTTTACATGGGATTGTTCTTTGTCAACGTGCTGATCCTGTATTATGCCTTCCTGATGGAGTACATCGCCCTCAATGTGGGCATCGTCTTCCTGCCCGAGGACATGGACCAGGCGCTGGTGGACCTGGGGGTGCTGTCAGACCCCGCTTCTCTGCTCTACGACGCTGACAACGAGCTGGAGGGATACCTGGAGTAAACCCGGACTGCAGTGTGCGGGGATGGAGCCGGGGCTCGCCTCCCCTCCGCCAGGCACCGTCATCTAAAGGCGTTCAGTGATTTGGTGGCTCCAAAATGGCCCCTCTGTTCAAGCTGCTGCGGCTCCGGGGTACACAATAGGCTTCGGGCTGGGTGGACGGCAATCCCGCAGCCCGGCAGATGAATAGTAAGTTCCCAATACAGGACTGCACAGCAGGCGTCAGATGTCACTGAAATCCAGGCCAACTGTCACTTATCCTGGTTGGAACTGACAATGTACTGTCATAAGAGATACTCTAGCACAGATCAGACCCCCATAACAGAGATGTGCCAATCAGAGCCCCCATAGCAGAGATTAGTGCCACTAATAACCCCAAAGTCAAAGATCACTCTCACCCTGAACCCACTTCTCAGCGATCACGATCACTCTGACCCCCCCCCCCAGATCACTATCGCTTCAACCCCCCATATCAGATCACTGTCACTCAGAACCTCCATATCAGACATCACTGTCACTCTGACCCCCCCAGATCACTGTCGCTTCAAACCCCCATATCAGACACCACTGTCACTCTGACCCCGCCAGGTCACTATCGATTCAAACCCTCATAGCAGAGATCTCAGTCACTCAGAACCCCCATATCAGACATCACTGTCACTCTGACCCCCCCCCCCCATCACTATCGCTTCAAACCCCCATATCAGGGATCGCTGTCACTCAGAACCCCCATATCAGGGTCACTGTCTCTCAGAACCCCCATATCAGGGATCACTGTCACTCCAACCCCCCAGATCACTATCGCTTCAAACCATCATATTGGAGATTACTGTCACTCAGAACCCCCATATCAGATCACTGTCACTCTGACCCCCCAGATCACTATACTTCAAACCCCCATATCGGAGATCACTGTCACTCAGCACCCCCATACCAGAGACTACTGTCACTCAAAACCCCCATATCAGACATCACTGTCACTCTGACCCCCCAGATCATTATCACTTCAAACCCTCATATCAGAGATCCCTGTCAGAACCCCCATATCAGAGACCTGTCACCCAGAACCCCCATATCAGAGATCACTGACACTTAGAACCCTCATATCAGAGATTTCCACTCAGAACCCCCATATTAGAGATTTCTGTCACTCAACCCCCATATCAAAGATTTCTGTCACTCAGAACCCCATATCAAAGATGACTGTCACTCAGAACCCCCATTTAACTGATCACTCACTCCTAATTCCCATATCAGAGGTGACTGTCACTCTGAGCCCCAATATCAGAGATGAATATCACTCTGAGCCCCCATATCAGATGAATGTCACTTTGATCCCCCATATCAGAGATCACTGTCACTCCGACCCCCTAGATCACTATCGCTTCAAACCCTCTTATCAGAGATTACTGTATGAACCCCCATATCAGAGATCACTGTCACAACCCTCCATATCAGATTTCGCTGTCACTCTGACCCCCCAGATCACTATCACTTCAAACCATCATATCAGAGATCACTGTCACTCAGAACCCCCATATCGGGGATCTGCAACTCAGCACCCCCATATCAGAGATCACTGTCACTCAGCTCCCCCATACCAGAGACTACTGTCACTCAGAACCCCCATATCAGACATCACTGTCACTCTGACCCCCCCCCCCCCCCCCCAGATCATTATCCCTTCAAACCCTCATATCAGAGATCCCTGTCAGAACCCCCATATCAGGGATCTGCAACTCAGCACCCCCAATTCAGAGACCTGTCACTCAGCACCCCCATATCAGAGATCTGTCACTCAGAACCCCCATATCAGAGATCTGTCACTCAGAATCCCCATATCAGAGGGCACTGACACTTAGAACCCTCATATCAGAGATTTCCACTCAGAACCCCATATCAGAGATTTCTGTCACAACCCCCATATCAAAGATTTCTGTCACTCAGAACCCCATATCAAAGATGACTGTCACTCGGAACCCCCATTTAACTGATTACTCCTAATTCCCATATCAGTGATGAATGTCACTCTGAGCCCCCATATCAGAGATCACTGTCCCTCAGAACTCCCATGTCAGAGACTGTGGACACCAGGAACCCCTATATTCGAGATCACTGTCACTCTGAACCCCCATATCAGAGATAACTTCCACTCAGAACCCCCATATATAAGATTACAGCCACTCTGAATTGCATATCAGAGATCCCTGCCATTCAGAACCCCCATAGATCACAGCCACTCATCCTCATGTCAGAAGTCACAGCCACTCAGACCCCCATATCAGAGATCACAGCCTCTTAGAACCCAAAAACAGAGATCTGTTAGAGATTCTGTATACAGCACAGCCCTACAGAACAGACAGTGCACAGTCCACATGTATTTATCTTCTGCTTCACTGCAAACAGGAACTTTATTATAGAGAAGAGACTACAAACCTATAAACACTACCATCTACTGGTTGAAGAATATATCTCTACTTATAACTGATAGTTGCTGCACAAAATACCCCCACTTGTATTCCAACACCCCCACCCAACAACTACTCCTTATGTTAGTCCCATCTCGGTTCCTAGTTCTATCAGTCTGTTTCAGTTCACTAAGAGGTACCTCTGAAAGTGTCCATGTCTGCAGTTCACCTCAAAATGTCGTCTCTTCATCAGCAGCTCTGATCCACTTTTGTTTCTCATGGGTTGGAAGTCTTTGCATCTCATCCCATGAATCTGGCTCTGGTTTTAATGCTGATGGTTCACATTTTGGGCTTTTGCATTCCACAGTTAATATGGAGCTTTCTCAGTTGATTTTTCTGGTGGTTGATTTTGGAGATGGCATGGGATCATAATTTCCTCCCCCCAGTATGTGGTTGGCATATCTGCATCAAAGAGCATGATTGTTCCACTTTTATATAGAGTATAGTTCATTCTTTCTGCAATCCCATTTTGTCCTGGGTTGTATAGTACAGTAGTTTGAAATGTTATGCCATGCTTTCTGAGAATCACCTGTGTATTATCACCTGTATATTCAGTTCCATTGTCTGCACAATACACTTGGCATTTTCCAGATTTGTTGCTTACTTGAGCCAAACACTGTTCAAGTTTCTCTGGTACTTCACTTTTGTTGTGTAACAGATATTGTGAAATAAACCTGGAGTAAGCATCTATAAAAGTGAGAAAATTCCTCTTCTTTGCTGGAGTCAATTTTTCCATTGGACCACAAAGATCTGAATAAATTAAGTCCAGAGGGTTTTTTTTCAGCTCTGCTGTTACTTTGCTTATTTTTATATAGCTGGTGCATTTCACACATCATTTCACATAGACTAATTTTTATTCCACTTGCATAGTCATTCTCAGTTAATTTCTTTATTATGTCAGGACTTCTGTGCCCAAGTCATCTGTGCCATGTGTGAATTCAGTTTGAATGTTTTTCCATTTTGGCAGTATTAACCACTTCATTGCAGTTCAGTTGAACTGTAATTTTAGCCTTTGCAAGTAAGATATCCCCTTTTGTGATGGCTCAACTGTTACCTTGGAAGGTCACTACATTGCCTTGTTTTGTGAGCTTCTTAACCGACAAAGAGCAGTTTCAAGAGCAGGGACTCACAGGTCATTTTTCACAGGTATCTTTCTGGTGAAACTGGGAAATAGGATAGTAAAGAAAACCGTCTTCTATTTCTTCTGATTTAATTATTTGCCAATGAGTTGTGATTTTTTTTTTTCTGGTTTACTCTGGTCAAGGTGAATAAAGAAATTTCTGTCATTTGTCATGTGACTCGTAGCTCCTGAATCAGCACACTATGCCTGCAAAGATGAGGTGCAACCTTTGGATTGAAAAACATATTAATTATCTGAAGAAAAAAATCAGTTTCTTCCTTCACAGTTTTGGCCTTTTGTAGTTTAGTTTGTTTTTGCATTCAAGCTATCCAGATTCTTCAGTCTGCTTTTAAATGGCATTGTTTCTTCCACATAAAGCATGCACATGTTTCTCTTTTTGTGTGTTACTGTTTTTATTCCTATTTTTCGTCTTTAAAGCACACTTTGCAATAGAAGCACCATTAGTATTAATGCTTTCTGTTTTACACATTTTATATTCATCCATAAGCTTGCCCTTATATCTCAATGTCAGTTTATCATCTGGGTTTGCATCAAGTGCTGTGACAAGCATTTCATAACTTTGTGGTAAACCACTAAGTAATAGTGCTGCAACATGAAAATCTTTTATTTTTTCTCCTATACCTCACAGGCATTCAACCATTTCCAGGGTGTGCCTTGTGTAATCCTGCATATCCTGGTCTTTCATCAGCTTGATTTGGTATAGTTTTCTAATCACGTACAGTGCCCTTTGAAAACATGCACGAGCACGAAACACGCTAGGGAGGAGCCCAGCTAGTGACGTCACGCCGCACAGGCCACTAGGAAGGCCGGCGCCCATCTTTGATACTGTTATTCATGCCAGATGTGAGTGCAAATATTCTTGTTTCACCATTGTGCTATACTTTTCAATAAAATACTGCACTATTAGAGATTCCTTTTCTGGCTTGTATTTTACAAGCCCCTAAGGTGGATTCCTGCTACTATCGTTTTATGCCCATGACTGGTCCATACCATCGGAAAGTAAAAGCCTGCTGATCAACTGATGTGCTGACGTGTGCCAGATGATCCCCTGAGTTACCCTTTCGGATCCAGATGACCAGGAGTGGTTTAATATACTCAAATGCGTGATTTATTGCGCTTTCTGGTTAGTGCAATATACATTAGCTTCCATTCACTGGAGTCATGGAATTCACTTTATATCAATTTTGGACTTTATATTTATATTTTTATTTATTCTTTTGTGACAACTGCACTTTATACGTTATTACCACCATCTAGTATAGCACTCCACAGCGCATTTATTTGTTTTATACGTATATTACGGTATACATATATATATTTATTAGTTTACTATATCCTTAGCGCTGCATTTGATATTACTGATTTATTGGAAGGATTTGACGTTTACCTTTATG